ATAAATAAACAAAAAATGAGTTTTATTAGTTTCGATTTTATAAATAGTTGCTTAATTGATTTTTGCTGATTGTTGACTGATTTTAAGCTGATTTATGCTGAATTTTAACTAATTTTTAATATAAATACTGATTGGTAGCCGATTTTATATTTATTCAAAGTGCTGATTTTTTGGTAATGATTGGCAGAATTAGACTATATTTTGGCCAACTTTTGATACTTTAAATGTGACGAATTGTATTATTTTGCCTAGTAGTATATCAGATAATTACCAATCATTAATGTCGAATGTTTTTTTGTGTGATACCTGAATTGGGTAACATCAGCTATAACTAAAAATGCCAATTATTTTGGAAATGATCAGCAGAAATTAGATTATATTTTGGCCAATATTCAGCACTTTAAAAAAGTGATGAAATAAATTATTTCGACTAGTGTTATCAGGTTCTTTTATTACTTGGAGTTCCTCAAATTTGAAAGGTCTTTTAGGATTTTACCCTATCAGATAAACAGTTGATTCAATGAATTTATCTTTAAGATATATAAGACTGATTATGGTGGATTTCTTTTGATAATAACTTTTTTTATCTTATAAATACGTAAGCTTTAGTATAGATCAGTTGCTTTATACCTATGATCACCTTCCAGCTCACCTAGTTTTAACAAATATTTAACTACTATACCCTTTTGTAGCTTTATTTTCTCATCTTTTTCAATCGCATTTTTAGCTTTGCTAGAAGGCTTTGATTTAACCTTTTTAGGGTCATAGCATAAGCTGGTGATATTTTGATAAGACGAGTCATACTATTATTCATAAAATCAATATTTTATTAAAGACTTTTTCCTTAGGCTTGATCACTCTTCTTTAGCTAATCATCCCTCTATAATACTGGACTTTATATATTAATTCTGCTATTCTCTTCTTATATGCTTTAATTAAAGCCAAGCTCTCAAAATTATAATGGTCAACAACATGTATTGAAACATTGTACTGTTGCATTCTCCGTAAAAATGCATCTCAAAATGAAGTATCACCATCAGTCATTAACAATACCGACCATATAAAAGAATTAGAAAGATCCTCATATATTTCTTCGATTGCAATCCAAATTTCTAAGCTATTTCTTAATACTAGAGAACATTCTTCATTATAATGTATTGCCATATCGATAATTAGAAGAGTACAAACAAATACCCATCCACTATCTCTATCACATATATGAATTAGTATATTACACTGGTGAACCTTGTTTGGAATTTTAATTTTTGAGAAACTGACCTCAACTTTACATAGAAATGGGTGTCGATAGATTTGATAGTTATTGATATTTCAAATATTTTGTAATATCCTGTAATTGAAAAGAGTATCCTTTCTCTTGATACGCTTTATGTAATTTTTTCACATTAATGTAAAAACTGAGTATATTATAATATAGAAGCCTACAGACAAGAACTATCTCATCATATGGATCTATTACAATCTGAGGTTGGCTTATTCTTGAGACAAGATTATTACAATAATACTATAAATTAGGATAAAATACCATGTATGATTCAGTATATTTACAGCTTTTAGATACGAACTAGGAGCTTCGTAGTGAGCTTTAAAATGAAGTTTCTTTTAATAAGAGTAATGAGAAAAAAATTTGATCTCTGGTAAAAGAGCTTGAGCAATGTTATAAAACAATATCCTTTCAAGATTCTACAATTCTAACCCATAAAGAGGAGATAGGAAAATTTAAATCAGAAATATCTGATTTGCGAAAACAGTTAAAGGTTTTATAACAGGATAAAAAATTCAAAGATAAGATTAGGTCTATTCAAGATGGCTGAATCATAGAGCTCGAAAATAAGGTTGGGAGTCTTAAAGCAAGGATCTGAATTCTCATAGATAAAAAAATCTCAATAAATACTTTAGATATGATAATAACTAATCTTATCGCAAATATTAATAGAGGATTAGATTGAATTAAAAATCATATTATAGGGACTGCCCTATAAGAAATCGAAATAAGGAAATGATACGTTTTTTTTAAGGTTTGTATACGTAATTAATGATTCTATATC